TCATAGACTGCTTCTCAGTCCTTTCATTTTCTGGTTTGTATCAACTTCCAGCTCTAGGGTAGTATTTCTCAATGGAGGGGCTTTAAGAATCTGGAGAACCGTATCATATTCCTGGGCAGCCTTTCCCTCTTGTTTCTCCTTTGGCCTTGAAGAGAATTAATGGTTTGCTGCAAAGCATCAAGCCCAATGTGTGAAGCTTCTGTTAAAACAGGAGTATGCATGACTGATAACTCAGTCTGTCTTCACAGGGCAACTTCTTGATCACACTTGTGTGAGTGCAAGGTCAGCCATGGGCCCCTGTGGGTAACTGTGATTCAAGTTCTCTGCCACACCAGCCATGGAGTAGCTCCTTGCCTAGCCTTTTCAAGTTGTCAAACCCATCTTGTCCACAGCTGACATTACTCTGACTTCCCTAAATCTTTTCTTCTCACTACTATCTGGCATTAAACCTGGCACACAATGTGCCTGAAACACTATGAAATACAAGCCTTTTGATGCAAGGTAAAACAGAGACACCACAACATGGAGTGAGTATAACCTATACAGAAATGAGCCTTTGTCCCTGTGAGCAACTGCTGGAATCTGTCACCTGGTGAGCACTGGAACTGATGTCCAGAAACTCCCATCCTGACACATCCCTGTGCAATTCTGGATTGTCAGAGAAGCTCCCTGTGAATTCCTCCTTCCACTCCCAGGATTCCCAGCCTATTATTGGGCTGTTAGGGGTCAAGTGCCTTCATAGTGCTAGAGGGTTGATGGTGTGGTCTGTGCCATCAGCCATGTTAAGTATGAGGAACCATATTAGGGAGAGTGGCCTAGTGTGGAGGATTCTGAGAGGGGAAGGTATCAATAATTTTAGGAATATCAAAAAATATAGAAGAAATGTGTCTACTTGACACAAGTGCCAAACGCTCTCTTCAAAATTTAGCCAAAGTAATCCTTTTATATGAGAGCCAGGTGGGAAGGCATAACAGAGGTGGCTTCTTGTTCTCAAGTGAGTTATAATCATATAGGCAGCCCGGACACTATGCTGAAGCCCCAAGGACCCTAACATCTCTCCTCAAAGAGATTCCTAGCACTTCAATTTGATCTTATTATTTTTCCCTATGTAGTCAAGCCTATGGTTTTTGTGACATGTATTTACTTACCTTAATCTATTTTGAAACCAGTGTTGGCTACCCACATAACCTTCATGGGACAATATGACTACATGTGAGTGAGATACCCCCAAAACAAATCTGAGGAGAAAGTGTGATGCTGAGGCAAAGCTCAAGCTGTTTTAGACAAGAAGATCTGGGCTTTCCCCAGGCCTATGGCTAGTCTAGACTCAGGCTCTCAGCCACCAGAGCAGTATCAGGCATGAGCTCCATCTTGTGTAGTGAGTCCTAAATCTAATAACAGAGTGATGAACTCAGGGGTGTTTTGTAGGGTTGTTTCATATTGCTTTGTAGGGGGATTTTTTATTTTACTGATCTTTTACTTGTATATCGTGGTTTCCAATTTTGTGCTTTTCTGGATTGTCTGTCTGTCTGTCTGTCTGCCTCTGTGTGTTTCTTGAGCCTTTTCACTGCTTTTTTTTTTTTTTTAAAAGTCTGGTTTCTTTGCCTTTTGAATTTGCCTGTTTGGTTCTTTTTAAAAATAGGAAGAAGTTGAATCTGGGAGGAAATGGGAGAGGGAAACCACCATCTGAATATATTGTATGACTTTTCAATTTAAGGAAGACAAAAAAAGAGCTGGTCTTCTACACAGAATCATCTCTCAGATGTTTCTGTACTCCTTCACAAGGGACCTCAGCTTGGGCCGTGTGTGTGTGTGTGTGTGTGTGTATGCCCAGAGCCCAGATGCAATCTGTGCCATACTCAGGGTATCTATGATGTCACCATATTTGCCATAGTTTTATATTTCAAGGCATCTGTGAAGCAACTTAGTATCTAAAGTATTTGAAGTGTGTAAGCTGCAATTTAGAAGAATTACTCATTTTGACTTTGGCCCATCATTTCTATTGCCTTTTGCATTAAAAATATTTTGACGTTTTAATCCATTATTATAAATTTATGCTATTTGAAGAATCTCTGAAATGTTTAATTAAGAACAAAAATAGTTCTTCAAAACAGACAGAATGCGTGAGGGATCAGAAGCCATGCCTCACACAGGCAGGGTTTAATTATAGCCCCCTCAGAAGCACCGAATGGGCCTCAGGAGTTTTCCAGTGTCTCTGGAAATTCTCCCTGACTGTGACCTAGGAGAAATCAAGGAAAAGAGAGGTCTTGTTCTGCAAGGCCTTCTTACATCCCTGAGCTTCTTACATCCCTGTCACTCTTCATAACTGGGGAGAGCTCAGAATGCAGGCTCCCAGAGATCTTTGAACACACAAGAGGTGAAGGGGTGTGTGTGTGTGTGTGTGTGTGTGTGTGTGTGTGTGTCTTGCCCAGACCTCTTCTAGAGACCTGCACATGAGGCTAGGAAGAGAGTACTGAAGCAGCCTCAGGACACTGCTCAACACCTGCTATGTTCAGATATGAAGCAAAGTCCATTTGCAAGCTTACAGGGCAGACAATCCCACCTAGAAACAGGAATCTTCCCAACTGTACTCCCTCACAGAAGCCCTGAGACTCATGACTGCTTGATCTGTTTCCATGGCCCCTAATTAGGTGATCTTGTCTCACCAGACCGGCTTCAGAGGGATGGGGTTGAAGACATGACCATTATCTCTGCTCTGAATCAGAACTCGGGATACTCAGAAGAGGACTTAAGAACCATCTCTGCAAACTCAGAGTCTGTGCTGAGGTGATGCTCACTCCCAGAAGGCCAGTGTGAAACTTCCTAGAGACAACTCATCAAAATGCTTTAGGGCAGTTTAACATGCACTCTTGCCTTCTGTAAAAACATGTTTCAGATCTTATTCCACATGGATAGAGTCTTGAGCTTTCAAATGGGTTTTTGCCTATCTCTTTGTGCAGACAAGAAAGGAGCTTCTAAGAATGTAGCCCTCAGAGCTGCAGGCCAGAATACCCAGAATTTTGCTTTTCATGCTCCTACCAAAGGCCCTTGTGGGATTTGGGTCCATATTTGTGGGGGTCCAGTATTATAAAAGGGTAAAATGATAAGCATAATTTGGCATCAACATGACCCCGAGGATGGTGCCATTAACAGATGGGACAGAAACAGCCATTTCAGGGATTTGGTAAATGAGGAGGAAGCAGGGCAGTCTGAGAATTTGGTCCTCTAGTCACACATGCAGGATACAGGTGACCTAGGGCGGGAACATTTCTGCTTCAGTAGTCTCTCTGCACCTTGACTTCAGGTGCATCCTAAGTAGCTGCTTTTTGTCTGCATTCTCCAGGATTGTGAGCCTGACTCAGCTTAGTGAACCTCTTAAGGTTGGTCTACAGGATATGTGGGTGGGGTTCAGCAACATGAAATTCAGTATACTCTGTAATTACCAAGTTCAGATCACACAATTGTCCTGTGTGCTCAGCAGCCATTCTAGGGGGATGGGTACCACCCACGGCTTCACCAATAATCAGCCACAGAGAACACGGGATACACTTGTCACAGAGAAACTAAAGGTGGTGATTACACACAACAGAACAGGCAGGCAGCACCACAGTGTCACCACAGTGTCACTGGCCAGAAAAGAAACCTGTTTTCTCTGGGACTTTGTCACATGAGACCAAACAATAGAATCAGATCATCAGAGTGTGCAGCACAGGAGACAGAGAGGACATAGGTCCCTTGTTCCTACATCTGACCAGGGATTTGTGTATGGACTCCTGGGTGGGTTAGTGGGTCAAAAGTGAGCTGGCATCTATTCGTATGCAAGGAATCTTGGTCTTTAACGCTGGTTCATCTCTCAGCTTTGTTTCACTATGCAGGATGTTACGTAGAACCCTCTCCATGGTGTTCTGAGTGTGCTAGTGGGCTGGAATCCCAGCCAACATCTCAGTCCAGTAATGGATCTGAAGAGTCCTATACTGCTATCATCCAGGAATGCTACCCTCAACTAGTGGAGCATGGTCACAACATGGCGCTTTCTTTCCTTGAGTTTCATAATCTCTTGGCTTTGAATTATAAACCTCAATGAAGAAAGGAAAGCAATTAGTCTGGGGCAAGGGGCAAGTGGGTCAACCCCCAGAAGCAGTGCTGCTGTCACGGATGGTGAGAAGACACCGTGATAGGCAGGAGGAGACTTGAGGCATGAAGTGACTGCTCTGTGGCTGTGTGGAAGAATCTGTGCTTGGTTGTTTTGAGTCTCTGGAGAGTCTTCCCTACATTCAGTATCTTACTGAGCAATCGCATGTTTGTATGTAACTGAATGTGGGTTTGTAAGGAGTTCAAGCCCTCCTTGTGGTGAGAAGGTGCCTCAGGCTGAGTAGGCTGAGACAGTGGTCAAGCGCAAAGGAAGTTGCTTCAAGGATACTCTAGGCTGCCAGACAGGGATGAGTTAGGAATGTCCAGATCACCAACTGTTACATACTTAGTGAAAGATCTACTCATGATGTGGTATTCTATCTTAGAAATGGTTAGGTGAGTGCTGTAGCCATGGCTGGAGAGACTCTTGGCAGTTGCCCTGAGTGGCCTGAGGTAAGACACTAGCAACTACGAAGAGACCCAGCTTCAGAACGTACGAAGATGTCTTGGCATTGGACTTGTGTACTGAGGGATCAGTACACAAGATAATGGCAAAACTATAAATGGGATGAAGAGATCCAGATGGCATGAAGGACTTGTTGCTCAGGGGACCCCCGAAATGCTAACTTGTGGCAGGTATAACCCACTTACGGGAGTCTCTCCCATCCAGACACGCTGACAGGTAAGGAAAGCCTTCCTTTCTGGGCCTCCTAAATCATGCAGAATCAGCAAATCCCCAAAGCCACAGCATGTTGGAGACCAAGTGTGAATCAAGACGCTGTAGCGCTACAGAGGTAAGGAGACCTGTAGACAATGTTCTCTGTTTACAGTGTCCATGAGTGGAGCTGTGTAGCCAATCTGGCACCTACCTTACTCTCATCCTCGGGGTCATTGTAGCCACATGCATCTATGAAGTCCGGGAATGTCTCCGACCACCCATCACTAGTGCAGTTTTTGCTTATGTTTCCTGGAAAGTAAATTTCAGATGTTTGGTCCTTGAAAACTAGCCTCACAACCAAGATTGATACAACAAGCCGAAGCCCTAATCAGCAAGTGACTGAGGCTGTCCAGAAGTCTTTCCTTAATTGCTCTGCACAGCTTCCTTTCTTCCTGAGACCTGCCTCCAGGGCCTAGGGGACATGAGTGGACACACTGTATCACGGAATGGTAAAAGCAGGATGAGAACAGATCACGGTTGGTAAAGCCTCAGAGCTGGTATTCTGAAGCTGAATGACAACCCTAAGCATATTCTGATGTCTGTGTCTATCAGAGTGCTGGTGGCCAGGCTCAATGCTCTGGAGCAACCTCTCTTTTATCCTTTAGTTTTTAACTCTTGCCCCCTCTCCATTTGGCCTGTCCCTCACCCTTCAATGCTTAAGAAGCAGCGTAGAACAGTTTCCACTTGGCTATCAGTCGGAGGAAAACACATGATTGAGATATAAATACTAAGAAATATAGAAGTTTTGTTATTTTAAAATCCTACCATTTATTCCTAAATAATCTCAAATTTATCAAAAAAAAATGAAGCATTCGCTCTATTTACAAAGAATGTGGCAGGTGACCACATAAAGCAGAAAGAGAATGAAGCTCTGGACAGACCTGGTGGGAAAGGGACTGACAAGGGCATTAGTCATTTCAACTGACCTGATTCTTATTTGAGATGCCCAAACTAAGACACATGTCCTTGTCGTCTGTGGATCTTCTGTCCCTTGACCAAACTACTCATGGGACTCACAGATAAAGGATGTTTTACAAAGGTCTTCCTTTATGGTCCTGGAGGCTGGGTAATTTTTGAGCTTGATCAGGAGATAGGCTTTCTGACCCAAAGGCCCTGCAATTTTTTTCTATATGGTGATGGCCACCTGTTCACCAGAAGTGAGCAGGCACCAAGCACTGAGAGCTCATCTCCTGTCTGACAATGTACGTTAGCAGTTCCTGCCAGGCTAGGGATCCTGAGATCAGCACTATTGGGCAGAAGCAACTCCATAGTCTTTGAAGGACTTGAGGTCCCAGTCTCCCATCACCTTCCCTGGGGACCTACTGGTATCCCTCCTGAGGCCTCTGACTCAGGCCACACCTGACCCATTGGCAATCGGAGTGGCTTGCCTCTTTGCACTCATGGCCTAGCCCCTGAGGGAGATGTTGGTGACTGAACTGGATGAGACCTTTTAGAGGTCAGAATATTGAGAATGGTTGAGACTCTCTAACATGGCCGTGAATGACAAAGAGGTAGGTTAGGGGCCCAGGTTGCCAGTAGGAGACCAAGTCCCCAACAACATTATCATGCTTACAGCTTTCCCCCTCAGTATCTGCCCAGATAAAACTATTTTCCAGTTCTCCAAAGCACTGCACTTTTCTTGTTCTGGCTCTGTCTTCTAATCTGTATTTTGCTACACAGATTCCTCTGTGTTATGAAAACCTGGGACCCTGAGGCATGCGTAAAGAACAATGTAGGACAGAGGCATGGATGGCACCAAATTCTCTAAACTCTAAGCAACCGCAAATTAGTCTGTAAGAGCATATTTTGTGCAGTGTCCCAAATTCTCTCCCTAACCCTTACAACCTTATGGTAATCTCTCTTGGGTTTACAGTCACCTTCTTTCCCTTTCCTCCCACCCTATCTTCAGTATCATGCATGCAAATTTTTCCTGCTTTGTCACTTGAGAGTTTATCGTCCAGTCTTTCCCTCTGTATCTGCCCTGCTTGCCTATACAGGCTCCAGAGGTTGAGGTATTTCTGCTTCCTTAAAGAAGAAGTCACCCAACATGGGCTGATGTTCTCTGGCTCCCTTAGAACTAGGGAGTAAGCACATGGCTACCAAAGAAGCAAGATCCAGCTTGCTTCTTTGGGGAAAAACTGACCCCCCACCCCCAGATGAAAACATCCATGAGCCCAGGAATCAATGCAAATACCTGGTCTGCTGTAGAAATTGCTGAACACTTTGGGGCAGGGCACCGTGACAGTTTCCCCAATGTCTGCAGGGCGCCAGCATGTGATGTTGTCCCAGACGCCGCTACAGGCTAGATGGAGAGGCAAAGAATTAGGTGCAAATCATGGGCCATGAGAACGAATTGCTTAGTCGGGTGGCAGGAGAATTAGCAAAACAGTCCGCAAGAAGAGTACTGCTTATTAGACAGTCTTTTGCCCAAGCTTTTTTCCCTGAGTTACTCACACAATGCTGTTGATGTAGAAGCAGCTTGTGTGGTCTCTTTATACTTTTGAAGAAAGCAACAGGCATGTGGTTGAAGGCATGCTAATAATTCAATGTACACTGTGTGTAGTTTTTTTTTTAAAGTTCTATTTTTAAGCTGATGACTAATAATTATATATACTTATGGGGTAGACAAGATGTTTGATACAATTTATACATTGAAAGATGAATGAATAAGTGTATCCATCACTTCAAATGTAATTTCTTTGTGGTAAGAGCATTTAAAAGGAATTGTTTTAGCATTCAGGTTGACATTAACTATAATGAACTTTCTATGCAATAGGTCATTAGAACATGTCTTTATTGCCCGACTGAAACTTCATGCCATCTAAACAGCATCCAAAACTGGCCTTTTGTGACACCATTCTACCTTTTGTTGTATGAAACAGATGAGATTCCACATAGGTGAGTTCTGTGGTGCTTGCCTTTCTGCACCTGGCTTATTCGTCTATGCTTTAAGTCCTCTGGGCTCATCATGTTATGACGAATGACACGTTCCTCTTTAATAATGCGGAACAAGATCTCCATTGTGTCTCCATACCACATTTTTAAAATAAAAGAGAATCCTTATATTTTTCTTGCTGATTTTCACCTTCAGTCTGGTAAACTTGTTCCTCATGGTATTAAATCTTGAGGAGACCTAGGTCTGGAAATACTCAGGGAAGAACTGGTAGTCTGGTGAGCTGAACCTGGTTAAAGGCAGAGGTCATCATCTGCATACCTTAAACATTTCCAGACACTTAGGATATTAAATGACACCGTCTTGGTTATGGTTTCCATTGCTACGACAAAACACTATGACCAAAAAGGCAAGTTGAGGAGAAAAGGATTTATGTGCACACACTTCCACATTGCTGTTCATTATTGAAGGAAGTCAGGACAGGAACTCAAAAAGGGCAAGATCCAGGAGCTGATGCAGAGGCCATGGCCAGGTGCTGCTTACTGGCTTCTTCCTCATGGCTTGCTCAGATTGCTTTCATATAGAACCTAGGACTACCAGCCCAGGGATGGAACCTACAATGGGCTGGGCCCTCCTCCATTGATCATTAATTGAGAAAATCCCTGGATCTCACGCAGACATTTCATCAACTGAGGCTCCTCATTTGTTGATGACTCTAGCTTGTATCAAGTTGACACAAAACCAGCCAGTACAGATACTTTCCTTTGGGTTTGAGCTGGCTTCTGGGTTTGGTGATTTGATCCTTCCTGTGTGATATTTCTAGATATCTAGGTGTTCTGCTATTCATGAATTTGAAGGGGCTGCAAAGCTGAAGGCAGCACATCACTAGATCCTTGGTAGTTTTTTTTTTTTTTTTTAGCTTCATTTACTTCCTTCCAAAGGGCTTATATGAGTTTTACAAAGGCTTGAGATTCAGCTTCACTTCCTTCTGTCTACTTTCCTGCTCAGTAAGGTTAGGGGCAGGTTCTGCAAACTTAACAGGTGATTGTGGGCTCCAGCCATGGCAACCTGGGCTTTGGGCGTGGTCTGATGTCCTTGGGTATTATTGCCTGAAGAGTGGATTGTTCTGGAAGGGCTGATCTCTCTAGTATGAAGGAACCCAAGAAAGTCATGTGAGAGCTATATGGAGGTTTCTTGGACCTTTCCTCCTTGGCTGTATGCACTATGTGCAGCCAAGGAAGAAGACATGAGCCAGTGTGAGCAGTGCCGTTGAGAGAAGAGCAGCATTGAAGAACAACTTCTATTCGACATTCAAAAGGTTTAAATTTAAAATCACAGAGGCAAAAGTTCTCAAAGGAATGAGGCAAGAAGGGCTGGCCCAGACAGTGCTCATGGGAAACTCAAGTTGTGTGCCCTAATCAGTCTTTCGATATCTCACAACATATGCAAGAATAAGGAGTGAGTGCTCCAGCCACTGGGGTGGGGTATTTAAATGCCTTCCACCTCTGTGTCCCTGTACCAGCCACTGGGATGGGATATTTAAATACCTTCAACCCTTGTGTCCCTGAGTCTTCAGGGGCTATTCTCAGCCATCCCCTTAGCTATCCATGGAAGCAGCCAGAAATCCTCCTGCGGATGCTATCCAAAGAATTCTTTACTGTCCAGCGGTAATAGAAACCCCCCCCCCCCCATGCTGTTTTCCTGCTTTAAGAGGCCAGTGTGAAGCCTGACAGCTAGGCACAAACATCTTGGAAATCAGGTTAGGAAACATGCTCCGATGTAGCAGACAGAGGGGACCCTCACACACCTCACCTCAGCATTTCCCTTTGGGCATCCATTCCTTGTGAACAGTGGGTTTGTGAGTGCAGGAGTGCTCTAATGTGAGGAGATGGGAAGGATACAGAAAAGAGAAAGAAAGAAGTCCCTGCAACTTAATAATAGGAATTAAAGCGGTCAGGGCCTTTGTTGTGACAGCTCAGCTCAACTGGCTCGTGATGGAGACACAAGATAAGGTCAAGTGTTTATTATAGAAAGTGCTTTTTTTTTTCTTCTTACCTCAGGAGGAACCAGACAAAGTACTTCTTGTACCCTGGCCATTCCTTGCATAGAATTTGCTGTGGCCAGAACTGCCATCTGGCAGGACACAGAATTTGAGTTCCTCCTGGATCCTATGGATGTGCCAGGCTTCCTAGGTCATGATCCAAAGAGGAGAGCCAGGAGCAGAGCAGATCCTTTTGAGAGTACCCTGTAAGTCCTTTAGACCCATACCTCCACGTAAACCATCAAAGGGATTCCCACTTTACATATGGCATGGCTGTATAGTGGCTATGCTACACTGTGGTCCAGCATTGTCTGCTCAGAAGTTCCCTCACTGGAGCTGCCTCAGTGCTACCCATGGACTGAATTCAGTAGTGCCTTGCAGGCATCTTGCTGTGCCATCTTAATCTTCATACACCACATGACAAAGCTCCCACTTAGCCTTCTCTACTCAACAAGTACCAAGATTCAGCTGTCATCCATAACTCTCCCTTTCTTCCAGGGCAGTTTCCCTGCACTGTATTAACTGGCCAAGGAAGAAGGTCATGGAATTCCACAGATACTAACTAGTCAGAAGCCGCCGAGGCAGGTATGGAGGGTAATCTTAGACTAACCTCTAAGACCAGCTCAGGGATCTGTCCTCAATGGGTCCTTTCAACACCTGCTTCCAGTCTCAGACACACTATGTGGAGAGGTGTCATAGGACTTTTTTTTTAACGAGGAAAAATATTATTTATTGTCTTCCCATGTAGTCGGGCTCTCACATTTTTTCATGTTATGTGCTTATAATATGGTTATTTTCACTGCCGGCATGATATTCCAAAGTCTGAGTTTAAGTTAAATCCTCATTTTACAACCTCAGTATCCACTATGTTTATGAAATAATTGATAGGAAATGCAGTAATTAAGTACAGAACAGGGATAAAAAGAATGCATGGGTTTCAGCCAGGCAGTGGTGGCGCACACCTTTAATCCCAGCACTTGGGAGGCAGAGGCAGGCAGATTTCTGAGTTCGAGGCCAGCCTGGTGTACAGAGTGAGTTCCAGGACAGCCAGGGCTACACAGAGAAACCCTGTCTCGAAAAACCAAAAAAAAAAAAAAAAGCATGGGTTTGTTTTTAAAAAAGAATTGGCATTTTTTTTTTCCCTGTTGAAGAATACTTTCCTAAGAACACTGGTTGATGAATATGTAAAAAATGGTCAAAGTTAGAGAATCACCAGATTTCTCCGACAAACAGTAAATGCAGGTACAAATCATTAATAGATCCTGAAACAGATGGTGCTAAATGCTTCTGAGGCCCTGCTGTTAAGACAACTCAGTAGCAGAGCCTATACTAACACATCTAGTAATCCTTAGGTTTGCTGACCTGTGTAGGGCCTATCTTCTTAAGGCTCACTTGTTCAGGCTATACCTTTTCTAGGGTTCCCATTCCGGGAGCTCAACTGTGTGTAGTATACTGATTTAGGGCTTCTCTGTGTAGGGTAGGGTGCACCTATCCAGAGCTATCCTGTGCGAGGTACACCTGCCTGGGCACACCTGCCGAGGGGCTCACCTTCTTGGTTGCCTACTTGTGCATGGTATTTACTGTGAGTGTCTTGTGCAGGCATACCTGTCTAGGGTTCAACTGTGTTAGGCACATCTGTGTTAGGAACACCTTCCTGATGCTCACATGTGCCCGGTATACTTGTACAGCCTTTTTGTCTTTTCTCTGCTCTGGTGACTGTTGAGCAAGAAGGTTTTTGTGATTTCTCTACGTGCTACCGTTTTAAAGCAACAGTTTTTTTTTTTTTAAAAAAAAAAACAAACCTAATCATCATTATACCATCAAATCCACCGATCATCTCTGCCTGTCATCAACCTCAGAGACAGAGCTGGAAATTGAATTGGGAAAGGTAATTTTTACAAGTGGTTTGTCTTCCTCTGAACTACATTCATCTATCCTGACCTGAATTGTCTCAGACTTCTGCTTGCCGGCCCCACAGAGATGCTACACTGTCTTGGTAAAGGAGGGTGTTCGTTTCTCTGCATCGTGACCACAAAAAATAAATCCTTGGTGGTTCTGGGGAAAAGGATGTAAGGCAGTTTCAGGATGGCTGCCTACTCACCTGGCTGCATACACCCAAAGACTATAGGGTTGGCCTAGGTTAGCCTGGCCCTCAGGCTGCTCACAGTCTAGAGGCCAAATCAGATCTGTGTGGAATTGTTACCTTCAGCCCAGTTGTATGTCCTAGAGCCTTGCCGGGGCAACTGAGGCCCATGGAAATTTAGCATGCTTTCATTATCACTTTACTCAGAAATTTCAACTAATGCCACCTTTGGACACCTAGTATTAGTTGGGGGCACTCAGGTCCTCCACCTGAATTGACCATGCA